AACAGGTCTGGACGATTTCTAAATAAGGAAGTCAAGAACGATAACCGTGAATTGCTATTAATACACAGAATAAACAAGGCACTAATCCTTCTGACCAATCAGATAACAGCATTTAGACAAACCCATGAGAGAATAAATAAAACACGTGGCTTTTACGTTTTTTGCTCAAAAGATTTTTTTAGAACAAACTTTTTGTAAACTTTATGCGCATTTGGGAATAATATTATATTTATGACAATTCTACCGTGAACAAACACGACTTGAAAGCTTGGAATACGTTTTAAGTGGGATAAAAAAAAATCTGTCTCTAAGATTTAGCAATCCCAAAAGTTTAATTACGTTACAAAATTGATATAAATACGGTAAATTTTCAGTTTTTAGAGCCTGACATAAAAATCTTATCGAAAAGATAACAGTCTTTATTATTTTTTAGTGTTTGTTACAGAATACTAGTAGTCCATGCAGTTTCTGATATGCGAGAGGTAAGATATTGGGATAAAACGCATTCATGTATAATTACAGGATTCTCTTCTCTCCACGTTAAACGCCTTTCCTTATGCCCATTTAAAGTCTGCATAGCTAAGTATTCGGCGCTCATGAAACCCTTGATAATGCAAAACTATATGTGTATACTCCATACGATAAACACTTGTGTGAGTTGATCTATACACATGGAATTTAAGCATTATCGATGAAAATCGGACGGCTAAGCAAAATTATATTTACCATCATATAATATATTCTGGTAAATGTTATAATTGAACTTGATAAAAACTTGCTGGTGCGATCTATATACCTCTGTAAATGATTACATTCTATAGTGCGTTATTTTTTTCTTTACCGAGATAAAAATGTCAAGGTTGTTCACGGCAAAAAAGTGGGGAATACCTTATTCTTCAAAAGTTTTCATCTTACCTCTACAGATTTTATGTTAAAAAAATCTTTTTGAGGAAAAAACAATAGCACGTGTTTTCTTTTTGTTCTTTTAAAATATGTTTTGGGGTGTGTAAAAATGCTGTTGTCTGATTGGACAGAAAAATAATTACGTGTACTTGATGTACATTTATAGCAACTTTCGGTTATCGTTCTTGACTTCCATATTTAGAAATCGTCCAGACCTGATAAAGTATTAGGCTATCAATACATTCTACTGAGCACACTATTAATTGATATACCTGTACTTAAGCTATTGATACATTGTATTTTTTTGCATTGTAATTTGTAAGAAAAATCCATGTGATACACCTATACTAACCCCCCGTTCACACAGAGCTGCGACTCTACGGCGATCATCCCGATCAAGCCACGATCTTAATTTTTTTAGATCGGGGCAGATCGCAGCCGATCGGCGTCTAAATGGAGCAATTTTCGCAAATTATGGTTTTCGCGACTACCATACTACGATGTCGCTACGCCAAATGCGATGCTAACACGCTTCTAGTACGATGTTACGCAGACCGTTGGCGACAAGCGGCCGTGTTTACTGCGTTTACGCTACGCTGCCACTACGACATTCAAGACCATACTACGACGCTACGCAGACCTAGATGACTGCACAGCGATGTCGCTACGGTGGTACCGATCATATTACGATTGCATTACGCTTCTAGTACGATTTTGACGATGATGTAAATCTATATATCTTGCAACCGCAGATTTTTGTACTACGATTTTAGCGATGATACATATCTTGCGACCGCATTTTTTTTTTTTTGCGGTCTTTACCATATGGTTTAAGGGCATTTTCAATTTTAACTGTAACAAGATGTGAAAATTCTCAATTGCAAATGATCGTCAAGTATAGTGTCACCCTTTACATGTAGTTTACTGATGATAAAGCGCTATAAGAACAAACTCCTGTCTAATAGGTCGTGATATGATCGGCGTAAGGTCATTGAAGGTCTTCGTAGGATCTTCAGGAACGTAGAGCGATCGTAGTGAGAACGTAGTACGAACGTAGAGGGAGCATTGTATGAACTTGGTAAGTTCCTACGCTCTTACAGCGCTTTTACTACGATCACGAAGATCTCTCTACGATGCTTCCGCGCTGCTTGTACGATTACGGCGCTTCTACTACGCTCTTTTTACGACTTAACCCCGATTTTTGTTGGCCACGATCCCGCTACGCTTGTTTTGAACATGTTCAAAATAAGCGTGATGAGAGCGTAGAGCTCTCCGATCATGAAGACCCTACTGCGAACATACTACGCTTATGACGACTGCAAGACGTTTCTCCTGCGATTTTTCACGATCGGCCACGCTTTCAGCCACGCTTTGATCGTAGTAGAAGCGGCGTCTGTGTGTGAACGGGGGGTAAGATTTTTAATATTATTATGAAATCATGATTTATGTAGTTGTAATGATGAAAGTTTCATTGGTCATCAGAGTTAAAATAAAATGGAATTCAGGTATATTTTTTAGTAATTTGATCCTGTACTGATCGCTCTGTGAGAGTGCATCTCTCATCTGCTGCTTCATATGGTAGGCCACTTCTCTTACATATGAGATATACTATGGCCTCTTTAATCAACACCAGGTTCATGTAATGCACACCCATACTGAAATTATAAAAACGCAAATAAGAAATTTTAAATGAGGTTGAAAGAAATAAGATCACATTGCTTCAAAATACAAAGTTAAATTTATATATTGTTTACTTTTAACCCCCTTCCCCGCAGTCACGCATTTTAACGCATATACCATTTCCTATTTCTAACGCAAAATCACGCATATACCGTTTCCCCGCAATCACGCATTTTCACGCACTTTAAAAAGTTCATTTAATCTTTAATTCATTGCCGATTTCCTTCTATTTTATACTTGCAAAAATCTCATAAAATAAGAAAAGTTATGTTTGTGTTAAGATTTAACGTCAGATTATTATTTACTCTAAGCTTTAGAGAAACGTGTACCACGTTAAAAGGTGCTTGCGGGGAAATGGTAAATTTCTATTTCTATGACATAGACATTAAGCGTCTGTTGCATAACAGTTCAATAAGTTGTAAAGAGTTAAACGTTATTATCTACATATGATTATCGTGCTTTTTCACACCTTCAAATAATTCTTCAACACACAGTTGTATACAAAGCGTTACGAGTTAATCTTAACTTATATCCCTTTTAAATTATTTCCACAGATGACCCATGCAAATAAGGTGAATATAACATGTACATAGAGGCTCAAATTTCATGGAAAAGAACAAAAACTTACAACATGTTTTCTATCAGGATTTTTTCCAGGTGTTGATTTTGCAGGTGTTGATATGAACTGTATCTCTTGAAGATGGATCTGAAAGTCATTTTATGACTTTAGTGCAAAAGTCAAATGTACATGGAAATCAATACATAATGTTAAACTAGAAATATGTCCATAGGACATGAATGCCCCGCCAAGGATATATTAATAAAGCAACATGAAAAATTTGCATGTGTATAAAATTTGATCAGTTTGGTTCAGGTAAGGCTTATAGTTACTTGGGAATGAAAATATAGGTCAGATCCAGCATCCGAAGCAAGTCTGGTAGTGTCCATCCCTAGATGCATCATCCATGCAAGTTTGGTTCAGGTAGGTCTTATAGTTACTTGGGAATGAATATATAGGTCAGATCCAGCATCCGAAGAAAGTCTGGTAGTGTCCATCCCTAGATGCATCATCCATGCAAGTTTGGTTCAGGTAGGGCTTATAGTTACTTGGGAATAAAAATATAGGTCAGATCCAGCATCCGAAGCAAGTCTGGTAGTGTCCATCCCAAGCTGCATCATCCATGCAAGTTTGGTTCAGGTAGGGCTTATAGTTACTTGGGAATGAAAATGTAGGTCAGATCCAGCATCCGAAGCAAGTCTGGTAGTGTTCATCCCTAGATGCATCATCCGTGCAAGTTTGTTTCAACATGTGAAGTTTGATAACACCATCTTGAATGGTATGTTTAAAACTGAGCAAAACACTAAGTTAAGAAAAGAGAGGTCAAGGTCAAAAGAAAGGTCAAGGTCAAAAAATGTTGATGCAGTTGCATAGCTCTCATCAATATCTACCAGCATATGAAGTTTGATGAACATGTCTTGGATAGTTTCTTTGAAACTTAGCTTTGAACAGAGCTAAACACAAAGTGTGACGGAAGGAAGGTGGACGGAAGACTGGACATGCACAAACACTATACGCCATATTCATGGCGGGGCATAATAAAAAACTTAAGGAGAAACTAGCAAAATTACCCAGGTATGGCTTGCTGACACACATTTTTTGTCAGCACTGGTTTGTAGATGCTCCATAACCTTCAACAGATGTAACAATCTGACTCATGAACAAAACACAATAAAACACAAAAGCAGATAGAGCAATTAAAAGTGACAGATTACATCCTAAAAATTCCACAAAAGAATATAAAATGTATACTTACCTCTGAGCTGAAAATTTCTCCCTGAAAACAGAACTTTTTTGTAAACTCCTTGTACATCAAATAAGGATTTTTTATAAACTATGATGACGTGTATGATCAACTTCGTCACTGTAAAATTTAACATTCAAGATGACTGGACATTCGACTTTGAATTTTAATAAAATGGTATGGCAATGAAACAAAAGCATTATTTTAATTATATACCAGTCTTGTATAGAGCAGTCCATAATCTCCTCCAAATAAGCAACAACACTGTTTACCTGCATATTACATGAAAATTAAATGAATACATTTACTTTTTTACAACTGAAACGTTAATAAAAAAAAACGAAATTACTTGACATTTGAAAAATTTAAGAACAACAAGATAATGTGATAATTTTTGAAAACCTAATCTACCTGGTATTTGTTAACACTTAATAAATTATGATAATAATGTAACAAATGATGTTCTGTTCTACTCACATGACTGTTTATGAAATCTGTTTGTATTCCTGAAGGGGAAAGAACTGAAGTATTTACACTGTGTACTAACAATCACTTAAAATTTATAAGAAAATTTTATTTCTAAAAACTTTGATATGAAATATTGACCACTCACTGTTCTGGCTTGATACAGCCTCATTTTCAACTTCCTCATCTCTGTTCTCAATGATGATGTCATCTTCCATTTTCTCAACATTATCATAGCTGTTCTCTGTATCTACATTGTTTTCAAGTTCGTTGACTTTGCTCTCAACGGCCTTGTGTCTTCTGTTTCAAATGCAATGGAAATAGTATTCTTTCTATTGATAATATGGATAAATTTAATGCTTAGAAAGTATTAAATTGTTTCATACATTAATACATTAATTACGGTACTCTTTTAAAGTATTAAGGTATAGCTAGAAAAACCAATTTTCATGAACATGTTGAAGACTATATTGATACAAATATTACATATATATAGACACATTTAATGTGCCATAATTAAAACAAAAATACATTTTACACTGTAATTCACTCTAATTACTTACTCTACATTATCCTTTACAGTGTCTTCTGATTTTCCATACCTGAAATATTCAAATTATATATAGTACAAATTTATTGTATGAATTGTATTTATGAAATCATAATCCTATATTCATAGCTACATGTAAATATTAAAAATGTTTGAACAGTTCAACAGCCAAAGATGTTCAAATGTTTAACTGAATGCTAACCAAAACATAGCCAAGTGCAAAACAGATACTTGTACATGTAACAATATTTCACCTAATATGTTTAAATGACCTTAAAATATAGATAAGTGTTGTACCTGTAATATAGACTGCACTACATGTGTATAGACATAAATATACTTTTTGTACGAGGCAAACTCATGCTTCTAAAATTTAATCATTATCATACTACATGACTAAAGCTGATTCAAAAATGTACTAATTACATATATGACTATCAATGAAATGGGCCTCTATCTAGAGCATTCCATGCAGTTTTGTAAACTACATTGTATATATTTGTCTTATGTCTTGATTTATGTCATATACAGCAATACTGGCCGCAATTCTTATGCGTTTCTGGTCCTTATTATAAGTATTAATGAAAACTCTTATACACATAACTCTTGGACAGTATTTTTCTCCAGTATTCAAAGATGTATGAGTGGAAGGATTTTTTTTAAGTTCATAAAAAAACTTTTTTCATACCCCATTCCTGTGTGACCGGTGTCGCATAATATACGTTCCGGGTAACTTGGCGTTCCGGCCGGAACGCTAAATACCTATAATATTGGTTCCGGGCCATAATAAACGTTCTGGCCCGCGTAAGATTGGTTCCGGCCGTAAAAAAACGTTCCGGGCAACCAAGCACCCTATTAAATTCTCTATTTATATTTAATATTGGCTGTTAATTTTAATTTTCTTCTTTCTTTTATACCTTCGTATATGATACAGCAGGATTTAATCGTAAGACATACATACATGTTTACGTTTCAAGTCAGAATATGCGGTCTTTTTACCAGAGACATTATATATTTATTGATGTCTCTGATTTAAATATTATATTAATTCATGAAATTCCAGTTGATTATTTTGATTCGTTGTAAACAAAAGAAGGTGTGAAACTTGTTTACAATGATATACCCCCATCGTGCTGTTTTACGATAGCCGTCGGGGAGGGTAGGGGACTAGGGGTCCACTTGGAATAAGTAGTGCACCCTACAACACTCGGTCACGCAGTAACCATTAGACTTGGTTACTGTCCTTGACATAAAACCTTCAAGGATTAAGACATAAGTAGGAATGTCTTTTCCAGTCTTTATTACAGAAGTACATTATATATATACAACTATGACTGGGCTTGCTAGCTGCATGCCCTAACTCTAGCTAACACACTCTAACTCTGACTCTCCGACTTAGACTCTCTGAACCTAGACTAACTCTTCAACATTTTACATATACATATATAATTGCTTTTGAGTTGATCTAAGTAATTAATATGATTTACTCAAATGCCTTGTCAATGAAAGAGTACAGTGACATGGACAGGTAGAGTGATAATTGTTGTCACACCTGTCGTGCCTCAGGTATAGATAATTAGGCAACTTTATTGACTTAAGAGATTAACTAATTAAACTTCAAAGGGATTAACAATAATGTGATAGCCAAGCCATCTGGTAGATCTCAATACTGTCATGATTTGATTTGATAAACAGATTTTGCAAATGAAGGGAAATAAAATATTATTCAAAATTTACATTTTGTATGACCCCTAACCTTTTGGTTAGTGGCTATACCTGACTTAGGAGTAAAAGGCATATCACTCCTCTTTGCATTAATTTAATTTGTTTCAACTGCAACATAAACAAGTATTCACAAGGGTGGCATTTCTGTTTATTGTACCCATCTTCCCCAATTGATATATATATATATATATAACAAATGTATCATATATTGTAAAATCTTTTTATCTCTAATTTAGAAAACTAAACACTAGAGATATCCCAGGATTTGAAAAATTAATTAAGGATAAAATGCATTAAATATAGGATAAACTTTGCTCTTTAAGCTACTTTCGAAACCAAGCAAAGCTACTCAAGTATATCGAATTCATACAGTACTTTATACTGAAAAATGAAAAGTATAGGTACATGGAATAAAAAAAATTTTTCCAAGACATTTTCATATTATCTGTAGTACCAACCAGACTTTTCAAGTACTTTGTTTTCATGGCCTTTAAATGATTTATTTACAGAAAATAAAATTTTCATTAAAGTAAATACTTAGTTATAAATATCTTAGTTGGATTCCTTCTTAAATCATATTCAATATCTAAAGCACATTTTCCAAATGACTTGCACATTATAAAAAATATTCATTTAAGGAGAAAAACATAACAATATACCCAGTTTTATCAACCCCACCGAGAATATTTAAGTAATGCAATATGAAAAATTGTATTAGTGTATGACGTTTGATGAAAATATCTTGAAAAATTTCTTTAAATTGAATTCTTAACAAGAGGCCCATGGGCCACATCGCTCACCTGAGTCACTTAGGTGATGCAGATCTTTACCAGATTCCCCCTCTTGCTATACCTATCAAGCCCAACAACTCCCTTCCCTTTTTTATTTAAAAACTTTAGAATCTACACTACCGAAGGATGCTTCCACATAAGTTTCAGCTTTCCTGGCCCAGTGGTTCTTGAGAAGAAGATTTTTAAAGATTTGTTCTATATATTTCTATGTAAAACTTGGATTCCTTATTGTGGCCCCGCCCTACCCCTGGGGGTCATGATTTTTACAATTTAATATCTACACTACCTAAGGATGCTTCCACATAAGTTTCAGCTTCCCTGGCCCAGTGGTTTCTAAGAAGAAGATTTTTAAAGATTTGTTCTATATATTTCTATGTAAAACTTGGATTCCCTATTGTGGCCCCGCCCTACCCCCAGGGGTCATGATTTTAACAATTTAATATCTTCACTACCCAAGGATGCTCCCACAGTAGTTTCAGCTTTCCTGGCCCAGTGGTTCTTGAGAAGAAGATTTTTAAAGATTTGTTCTATATATTTCTATGTAAAACTTGGATTCCCTCTTGTGGCCCCGCCCTACCCCCAGGGGTCATGATTTTAACAATTTAATATCTTCACTACCCAAGGATGCTCCCACATAAGTTTCAGCTTTCCTGGCCCACTGGTTCTTGAGAAGAAGATTTTTAAAGATTTGTTCTATATATTTCTATGTAAAACTTGGATTCCCTATTGTGGCCCCGCCCTACCCCCGGGGGTCACGATTTTAACAATTTAATATCATCACTACCCAAGGATGCTCCCACATAAGTTTCAGCTTTCCTGGGCCGGTGGTTCTTGAGAAGAAGATTTTTTAGTGACCCCACCCTTTTTAGCCTTTTCTTGATTATCTCCCCTTGTAAGGGGACTTGGCCCTTCATTTTAACAATTTAAACCCCCCCTTACCTAAGGATGCTTTGTACCAAGTTTGGTTAAAATTGGCCCATTGGTTCTTGAGAAGAAGTCGAAAATGTGAAAAGTTTACAGACGGACGGACGGACAGCTATACAGTTGAGAGGTACATTGTGCATTTTACGGAAGGTGCGGGGTTATAATTTTGCTTTGTGGGGTTATTAATAGTACAGTGGTGACTTGAGAGGTATCATTAGGAATTCAAACAAATGGTATATTGTGGGGTTAAAGGTCTATATTTGTGGGGTTAAGGTCTATATTTGTGGGGTTAAAGATCTATATTTGTGGGGTTAAAAATAAATTATTTAATATCAAGTCAACTTTACGGGCAACTAATTATAAGTACTTAAAATTGTTACTGTTTATCTGAAGAACTTAGAACGGATATTGCAATAACTTTTTTTCAACTACTGCCTAGCAGTAACAATGCAAAAAAATGTTTTTATTTGAGGATAACTGTTGCATCAAAGTAAATTAACCCATCATGTTTTCACATAAAGATGATAGACAAGAATATTCCAGAGAGTGTTAAACAAACAACCCCACTATGCTATATAGAAATAACAGACAACACTAACCCCATAAATTATAAGACAAACAACCCCAGTGTGTACTCTTATAAAGATAATAGACAACCAACCCCCTTTAAAGTGTTTGGACAACAACCCCACTATGTATTTTTATAAAGATAATAGACAACACTAACCCCATAAATGTTTGGACAGCAACCCCACTGTGTACTCTCATAAAGATAATAGACAACACAAACCCCCATAAAGTGTTTGGACAGCAACCCCACTATGTAATCTCATAAAGATAATAGAAAACACTAACCCCATAAAGAGTTGGACAACCCCCCCACTATGTACTGCATAAAATAATAACAACACTAACCCCATAAAGTGTTTGGACAGCAACCCACTATGTTCTTATAAAGATAATAGACAACACTAACCCCATAAAGTGTTTGGACAGCAACCCCACTATGTACACTCATAAAGATAAAAAACAACACTAACCCCATAAAGTGTTTGGACAACAACCCCACATGACTCTATAAAGATAAAAACAACACTAACCCCATAAAGTGTTTGGACAGAAACCCCACTATGTACTCTCATAAAGATAATAGAAAAACCTAACCCCATAAAGTGTTTGAACAGCAACCCCACTATGTACTCTCATAAAGATAATAGACAACACTAACCCCATAAAGTGTTTGGCAGCAACCCCACTATGACCCCATAAAGATAATACACAACACTAACCCCATAAAGTGTTTGGACAGCAACCCCACTATGTACTTTCATAAAGATAATTGACAACACTAACCCCATAAAGTGTTTGGACAGCAACCCCACTATGTATTTTTATAAAGATAATAGACAACACTAACCCCATAAAGTGTTTGGACAGCAACCCCACTATGTACTTTCATAAAGATAATAAAAACAAAAACCCCCAAAAAAGTGTTTGGACAGCAACCCCACTATGTACTTTCATAAAGATAATAGACAACACTAACCCCATAAAGTGTTTGGCAGAACCCCACTATGTACTGTTATTAAAAAAAGACAACACTAACCCCATA